CCATAACGCAGCACCCCCTAGTTCCGTGTCCTCTGGGTACAGTATTCATTTAAAGAGCGGTCGATGTCCTCCAAAAGATTCATTGAGCAATACGTATTTATGCGATTTATAGAATAATAATGGTCATGATAGCGCTATCTACCTAGTTGCCTAAGAGAGGTTGTTATTGGAGCTTGTTATTGTTAATTAGTTGTTTAATCTGCTTAGAAAAACACATTTTGATGTAGAGTATATTTATTTCCCTTTTCTTGAATTAAATTTGTATTATTGTGTTTGTCAATACTATGAGCAAATATAGATATTACATACCTGTCTCTTATACACATCTAGATGTGTATAAGAGACAGCGCCTCTTCCTTGCGGTTTCCCTGGTCATTGGGTCCACATGCTAAGTGTTGCTGCTGATTGTGAAGGAATTAGGTACTTCAATCGGATTTGAAATCCCACCAAAGCCTCAATGGCCTAGTAGATAAGACGTCTGCATAGACAGCAGAATGTCCTGGGTTCGAATGGTTTAGACAATATGACGTTTACTTTTCCTGATTTTATATTTATAGATTGCGAGAAGTTGCCTGAATCGTGCAAAATCCTGAAAGAAGACGAACAAAGTTCTTGTCGCCGAAAATGTAAAGAAGGGTTAAACGATGCTGGCATGTACTGTAAGAAATGTTGATCAATTTTTGAAATATACTTTCTTCTACTACTATACTACTACTATCCAAATATTAGTTTGACTGCTAATCCCTAATATTGTGGTCTAAAGGCGTATTTTGGACCATACTAAGCTCTCCCCGTGAACTCTACATACAAGGGAGTTTTTATTCCTGGCCGTCGACCGAGGCTTCGTCGACTCCTTGGCTCGAACCCCTCCTTTGGACATGTCGGACCCCTTGTCAGCAATTTCTGGCACCACCCTTGACACTACACAACCACTACCGCTACCACTGCCGCTGCTGCTGCTACCACCACCACCGCCACCACCCCCACTATTACCAAAACTTCCACTTATTACTGCAGCTACTACTGCTGCTGCTAACTATTGCTACATCTCCACTACTGCTGGTAGTTACTGGCTAATTCTGGCATCAAAATTATGTCCTAAAAATATAAAACAAATGTTATGCACATTGTTTAGATTATTCATGATTATGTAAGTCTTTGTTGTTATGGGCAGCTTGCTATTGAAGATATTATTTTACTTTCTGTCTCATTGTTTTAATAGCTTGTGATGGTTTGAAAAAGTTTGGCCTATGTCAACAAACATGTCGGCAGAAGTGTGAAGATAGAAATCAAAGTCCTACAATGACAAATCCAGGTAGAAATGGTTGTGCAGTTCTTACCACTGATCCGTATATTATACGGGTGGGGTTGAATAGCATTAGGATGTCCGAAAGAGGTGGGCCCGAAAAGGGGACCGAAAGTGGGACCGATTGGGATAACTTACCATAGGGGGTCCGGGGGCGTGCCCCCGCGAAATGTTTATGTTCTAGACGCCTGAAAATAAATATGAGAATTGGCTTATAAAGCATCATTCCCCTCCATCCAGTAAGTGGCGAGTGTACCGTACTTGCTTTTGGATGTGAAGAAAACAAAAATAATTAAAAAAAAAATGGCTGGACTTCTCATTAGCAAGTTTTGATAAAGCCACTCCCAGTGGGCACAACTGGGTTGAAATAACATTGATTCAACGTAATATGCAAACATTGAATCTACGTTTAATTTTTGTTGTATATGAAAGTTTGCATCAACGTAAATCTCAACGTTGATTTAACATAAAATGTCTAAGGTTTTTTCAAAACTAATTTTTTAACGTTGGAACAACGTCAAATGACTAATGTTGAAAATCAACGTTGAATTTTGGTTGTATATGAAAGTTTTCACCAACGTAAATTTCAACATTGATTCAACGTCAAATGTCTAAAGTTGTTTCAACGCCAATGTTTAACGTTAAAACGTTCTCCATGGCGTACTCATTTTCACAAAGCACTTGCATCCCCTCTTGGAAAGAGGAAACTTCGATATAATTGTCTCCATATCTTCGCTAATTAATCACCGTAATTTAGCTTACACTTATCATGGAGGGAGCACTTAAAATGTACAATAATCATTTCACTACCCGACAAACCCTGAACTTTCATTCATTCATGCATTACATTAATAATTTCATCTTGCTGTACTCCAACATCACTGGCGCATGGTAACAACCAACTGGCAGACCATTTCCGGTCACACGTTACTCTCCATAACGCAGCACCCCCTAGTTCCGTGTCCTCTGGGTACAGTATTCATTTAAAGAGCGGTCGATGTCCTCCAAAAGATTCATTGAGCAATACGTATTTATGCGATTTATAGAATAATAATGGTCATGATAGCGCTATCTACCTAGTTGCCTAAGAGAGGTTGTTATTGGAGCTTGTTATTGTTAATTAGTTGTTTAATCTGCTTAGAAAAACACATTTTGATGTAGAGTATATTTATTTCCCTTTTCTTGAATTAAATTTGTATTATTGTGTTTGTCAATACTATGAGCAAATATAGATATTACATACAGACTCTCTTTACATACTGTCTCTTATACACATCTAGATGTGTATAAGAGACAGCTACTATA